AAGTCAATATATTGATAGTATTTCATAAGGTAACCAGCATCATTTTTACATAATTAAATAATTCATAATAAAAATACTGTTGGCAGTTTTACAAATTAATTTTCAATTAAAATAAAGACTATAAAATTTTTATTGATTATACATTCTTGAATACGGAATTTTAAATGAGAAACAATACCTTAAAAGACTATTCAAACAAAAATTCAACTGTGTAAGTTTAATTAAATAAGCTCAAACATGTTATGCGATTAATATTGAAATGAGTGGAAATCAAATCCGTTTTCTTGATAGACATAAACAACGAAAGAAATCTACCAGGCTATGAGAAAACAACCAATGATAATACAAAAGACAAAAGAGAATGTTACATACATAAAGATAATATGAACCAAAAAGATGGTATGAAAAATAGATTTTATTTGGTGTTAATAGAAGGATAGTAAGAAGAATAAAATAACAAAATAACTTTTTTGAATGAAGTTATGGAAAAGAGTCGAATTGGTTATAACACTCATTTCAAACAAAAAACAACAAAAGAAATAAAGGGAAAATCAAGAACAATACAAAATAATTATAATTATTAAAGAGAAAGAAGAAATAAAAACAGTTTAATTAAATTGATTAATAAAAACATTTGAAAGATTTAAGAAAAGTTATTTTTTTTAATTAAGAGAGAAAAGATAAATAAAAAGAAAATAGAAAAGTTTTTTATTTATAAAATTTATAATAAAAAAAACCATGTAATAAAAAATAAGGTGGATGTAATAGAGTACTGAGGAAGTCACAATTAGACATACTCCGTAGAAATACTAGACTAAAACGAAGTGATAGGATTAGTCTTAGTTGATACAGGAACAATAGAAACAAGTTTTGTTAATAAGTAATTAATTACTTTTTATTTGTAAAATTAATAATAAAAAAAGTGTATTTTCTCATTTAAAGTTCAATGAGTCAAATTTTTGTTGTTTAAGAAAATACATACAAAAAAAGAGGAGTAAGAAGAAGAAGTGAAGTATTTTTGAAAAGGAAAATAAAAATAATAACACAAAAATAAAAAACATATAAATAGATATGAGGTGATTATGTTTTTTTACTGAATAAAAACTAAGATAATTATATTTTTAGCTAATACTTTGAACAAATCGAGAAAAAAAAACACTAAAGATAATAAAAATATAATTATCGAAAGAAATAAAAAATGTAATAGAACGAAAAGATTAGAATGATGCAAAAAATAAAATAATAACCAGGTATTTTTATACTAAAATCGTTGGAAATGGATGTGAAATTGCAACCGAATAAAATTAAATAAAAATAGAACAATAACGAGGAAAAGAGTAGAAAAAAGAGACAATTTCGTTGGTTAATAACGTTTTTTTATTTTTTATTTATTTAAAATTACTAAACGAAATTCATGTAAAAATCATCCTCGTTGGGTATTTTTACTCGTCAATAACGAACTGTTAATTTCATATCATGGTTTTTTACCTCATAGTACAATTATTATTAATTAACTATGCTCTTGCTCATACTTGTACTACTGCAACAGAGGAAAATAAATGTGTTTGTACATGTACTGTTGAAAAGGTTGACTCTCTTACAGCTGATGATGAAAGTGCCTTTTCTTGTTTATTTAATGACGATAAATGTAATTCCTTTGATGCAGTTCTTCAAGTCCCAAATTCTGCAATAATTTCTGATTTAAATATAAAAGGTTATCAAACTAACAGTGAAGAAGGTTCTGAAAATACTCCATTACAACTAAATAAAATTACTATTCAACAATCAGAATCAGCTGAAAAAGGAACTATTACAAATCCAGCATTCACTCTTAGTGCTGCTCCAATAGAGGATTCAGTTCAAATTCATATTTCATCTGGATTTGGTTACCTAAAAGTAATAGGATCTGATGGTTTAGAATTAGAAAATATTGCAGATAACATTTTACTTGTCAGTGGTACACAAATTAAGGTAAACAATTTATCTGGTGATTTACGTACTGTTGCTCTTTCTGAAAATATAATTGAATTTGGTTCAAATGATCTCAAACAAGGAACAATTAGTTTAAATGAACCACTTAATACTTACAAAAATAGATATGTTAACGGATTTAATGGTAATGAATGTACTTTTGATTCAAATGGACTCATTCAAGAAGAGTGTAAATATTTGAGTTCATACACTGACATGGCATTTAAAGTTACTAGTGATAGTTATTCAACAGATTTGAACACATACATAGATAATAAGAAATGGAAAGAAATTAAATTTGAAACAAAAAATGAATTAACAATTCCAGAAGATATCACAATCAATTCAAATATACTTTCTATTAGTGGTAAATTCACTATCAATTGTGCTGTAACTGTTAATACTTTAAATATAAATGCTAATCCAGAAAATAAAATAACTAAAAGTATAACAGTTTCTGAAATAGTAGCAGCTGAAGAACAAACAGTATATTTTGTATTAACAAATTCTGCAGTAATCACAAAGAAAGGAGAAGCTGAATCACAAAGTGAAAATTCATTTGTTGTTTACAAATTAAGTGAAACTAGTTCTAGAGTTGTTTCTTCAAATAATCAAGAAGGAGAGAAGTGTGTTTATGACAAATCAGCATATACTTCAAGTGACTGTAATATGTTAGATGATAATAATGAAGTGATATTGAAATTCATACCAGATGAAACTGAACGTAAAAATGAATTACTTTATAATGATAATTTTAAAACAAATAAATTTAAAGAAATTGATTTGACATCTGCAACAAATGTAAATACAATTAATGGATTTAAATTAACTTCTTTTACATTAACTAAAACAGGATTTCATTTCATTAATTGTGAAATTACTCGCTTAATTTACAAGTCAGGTGTTACTATTGACTATCTTTTGTTTACTGAGAATTCTAAAGTAAGTAACATCATTGATGGACAATCTAATTATCTATTTACAGCAGACAGTCAAACTGTGTTGTCAGAAATGCAAGGCTCGAATTTACATATCGATAAAGTTACTGAAGGTTATTATCGTTATAGTTTTTCAAATAATGGTGCTGTTTGTACATTAACTTGTTCAGAAAAAGATAAAAAATGTGAATTTGTTGAAGGTGATTGTACAAATAGTAAATTAGTGGATCCTTCTTTAGTGACATTAAAATTTAAAGAACAAACATTTACTCTTTATCCAATTGAATGTTCAGAAGGAATGAAGTATGATTTTAAAGAATGTGATGGTAGTAATGCTGTTAAAATTCAAGATTCAGATACAATGACACAAACTATTACTTGTCCAAGCTTTACAGCTGATCATATTACAATTGAAACAGATAAAATAGTAATTACAAAATTTGAAGTAACTGGTACTGCTTTGAGTATCTTAAAAAGTGTTCCATCAACCATTGAATTTAAATCAAGTTTAACTTATATCATTGTAAATAGTGCTTATAATAGTGATGAAACAAAAAGTAATTGTGCTGAAATTGCTGATAAATATATGAGATGTGGTTCTAGTACAAAACCAGATAATAATTGTGTAGTAACATCACTTGCACAAAATACATATGAACAAGAAGATTGTAGTAGTAGTTATATTGATCTTAAAAGAATGGATCTTATTATTAACGACAATCCATCAATAACAAGTGGATTAGAAGATTCTGAAAAAGAATTTAAAAGTTTAACTGTTAACTGTGAGAGTTGTAGTTCATTCACTTTAAATATTCCAAAATTCACTTTCAATGGAAAAATTGATATTTCAAGTTTAAATAATATTTTCTTTACTATTAAAACTAAAGTTAGTGGAAGTGCTAATATTATATTACCAACTCAGATTAATGGATATTTAATTCTTGATGGAGCTAATCCAGAAAAAGTTACACCTTCAATAACAGGCTCATTATATACAAATATTAATGGCTTAAAGTGTTTCAGTTATGATAAAACCCCACTTGAAGTAGAAAGTTCTTATTACTGGTATGATGAAACACATGTTTGTGTATATGAATCAGCATCATTTAGTAGTGAAATTTGTAGGATATTTTCTAGTTATGAGAATGTTGATGTTCAAATTAATGCACCTACAGCAATTTCAAATACTCTTTCTGTCAATACATTAACCTTTACTGATGGAGCATCAACTAATCAACCAAATATTAAATGTAAATCAGTTATTGTTTCAAAAGATACTATTTTATCTGAAGTATTTAATACATTAACAATGAATGGTAATGACAATGGAATAACAGTAACTATTAGTGAAAATGTTGGAAAAGCTATTTTCAATGGAGATAATATCAAGTTGAGTGCAAAAACAATTACTTCATATGAATTAACTAATAATCCAAAAGGAATCCAAATATTTGGAAGCTTATCAGAACAAGCTACTGTTCAAGAAGGAACATTTTATGGTAAACTTGAAACATATCCAAATACATTAAATAAAGTACAAATGGGAGATAAATTTTACCGATATTCTAATGATGTTATTAATGATCAATGTACATATAAAAATTCTAAGTTTGAGGAATATGATTGTCAAAAATATTTTGATCAATTTAATACTGAAAATTATGTTACCATTGAATATCAAAGTTCTGGAACTAATGCAAATACATTCAAAAAATGTATTATTTCAACATCTCAACAAATTTCATCTTTGAAATGCAAAGAAACTGTTTTAACAGGTAATTCTTTTTCAGTTATTGACTCTCAGTTAGGAAGTGTAACAATGAACAGTCAATATTCACAAAACAAAGTAATTAGTACTTCAACAATTACTTCAATTAGTCTTAGTGATACTCAAACATCAAATCTTCCAATATTTTATGGTCATGAAAATACAATAGAAGGTACAACTTTGTATTATTTCAAAATTAGTGAAAATAATGGTAGATATTATCTCAAAGAGGAAGGTGCTATAACTACTTGTGAATATTCAAATGGTGAATTTAACATAGGTGATTGTAGTTCAGTTGATTCACTTGATCTTATTATTAAAAGTGATGGATTTTCATCAAATGAGAGAACATATAATACTGTTACTGTTGAAAGTAATGTTCAAAATATAATTTCAATCCGTGCAACAACTTTAACTCTTAAATGTTCTACTGTTACAATTGATTCGATAACTGTTGATGAGTTACAACTTCCAGACACTTATTCTGATTATTATTTTAAATCTGGTACTATTACAAATATTGTTGGTGGACTTTCTCCATTATTTATAGGAGGTTCAGAAAATATTTATTCAGTAACTCCATTTGTTGAAAATGATAATACTTATAGATACATTAGAGAAGAAAAAAGAAACGGAGAATGTACTTGTACTGACAACAATGAATTTGAAGAATGGGATTGTAAAACTAGTAGTAAATATTATGCACCAGAGACAATGAAACTTGTGTGTGGAAAAACATTTGTTTTTGATAGTAGTAATACGAAGAAATTTAAAGAATTTAGTTTAGGTACTGAAGACATAGAACTTACTAATCTTAAAGTAAGCACAGTTAGTGTCAATGTTGCAAAATATAAACTTACTAACGTGGATATTGGCACTCTTACAATTAACAAAGAATTTAATGGAGGTGTTGTTTCTGGAAACATTCAAACTATCACAACAAGTTCTGATTATTCATCCAATATAATTATGTATTATTCTTCGGAAAGTGTACCATCATTTACTAATTATTATTGCCATCAAATTGGAGATAATATTTATCGTGTAAGTAAAGAAGAAAAGTTCTACTGTACTTTGAAGTCAGACATTGATAGTGTTTCTTTTGAGGAAAAAGATTGTAATGAAGAATATACAAGTAGTAATGAAAATAAAATACTTAAGTTGACTTATAACCCATTAGCTCTAACATTTGTATCTCCATACAATAATTTCGAAAATATTGAAAGTAGCCTTAATGAACTTGTCTTGAACGGAATAACATTAAATACATTTACTCCATCTGAAAGTATAACTGAAATTACTTTGTCATTAACAGGTATAAACACTTTCAATGTAGGAAAATTAAGCAATTATAAAGTCACAGTCTCTGATAAAATAGAGAAAATGATAATATCAACAAGTCCTCAAGATGCATATATAAAAGGAACTGTTAATGCTATTGAAACTTCATTATCTGAAAATAATATTCTCTTTGTATTAGAAGGAACTCCTGCTACTGACTCTAGTGTATCAAATTATAATAGTGTTAAAATTAGTGAAAACTTATATAGAATTACACATGGCTCAAATACAAAATGTACTTATAGTCCTTCTTCATCAGGACTTCCTTTTGTTGAATTTGATTGTAATAAATATGCTACTAACATGGAATCACCATTATTAACCTTTATGTACTCTGGTTCTGAAAACATTAGTTTAACAACTGAAAAACTTAATAAATTTAGTTCTGCTATTCTTGGAAGTTCTAGTAAAATTGAAAATCTCATTACAACTGATAAAGCAACATTTTCAACTCTTGTTTCCTCTCTTGAACTCAATAACTGTAATTTTGGTACTCTTGAAATAGTTCAAGTTGGAAAATTTGTATTCTCTGGAAGTACTATTGGTATTCTAAGTTTCTCAAAATCTGAACCTCATGAAGGATCTGAATTAACTCGAACAACAATTACTACAGTTGAAAATGTAATTGAAAATTCAATTTTATGTGTTGGTGATGAATTATCAAAAATTGAAAATAAATTCAGCACTTATGATATTAGTGCTTCAAAGAAAAGATTTTCATTAACAGCTGAAAATAAGTTCTGTACATTAAACTCGGAAGGTGAATATGAAGAATGGGATTGTAATACAGAATACGCAGAAAATAATTATTTGTATTTGAAATTAACTGTATCTGCTAATTTACCAACTTTCCCAACTGCCTTTAAAGGTGTTGAATTTTCAACAAATAGTGCAGTGCAAATTACAAATGCGGAGCCAATTACATTTGAACAATATTCAATTGAATCATCAAATCCAATAGTCTCATTCATAGGAACAGTTACAATTTCTTCACTCTCTGTTAAAACTGATACTCCAAGCTTCTCATATTTCGAATCATTAACAATAAATAACATTGTACTTGAGAAATCACCAAATTATATTCTCACAACTGGTAACACAGTAAGTATTCCAAATACAATTTATAGTTTATCTAGTTCTGAAACAACTAAACGTATTTCTTCAAAATCTACATTAGAATGTACTTATGTTTCAGATTGTTCATTTATAGAAGCAGATTGTAATGGTTATAATAACTATGTATTATCATCTCCAAAAGCTAATATTGTTTTCAACAATGAAAACAACAATGAAATTTCTTATACATGTACTTCAAAAGAATGGAATACTATTTCTTATAATACTGAAAAATCTCTTTCATTAACAGGACAACCATTTTCTGTTAACACGATTACTTTTTATCCAGAAGTAAATATTAAACAACAAATCACTATTTTAGATTCATGTAAATTTATGAATAAAGAAACAAGTAACCACCGTGAGTTGAACTTAAAATTTGTTGATGGGGTGTCATTTACTGTTTTTGATATTGATAATAATGATGATGTTGTTCCATTTGATTCAAATGATAATGTTCCAACTAAAAATTATTTGTTTGAAGGAACACTTGATGGTGCCAATCCTGAAAAAATGTACTTGATTGGTTGTGGAGAGTCAATTTATTATTACAAACATAAAAAGTCTGACTGTTTGTGTACTTTAAGTGGAGATATTCTTAGTTTGGACCCGGGTAGTTGGACTGGTGAAAATGCACTTGAATGTTATCAGAGAAGTGATAAAGTAACTTCGTATTCATTAGCACTCTCAAAAGAATCAACTGGTAAAATTATTGTTAATGTTGATGATATTTCATTTGCAAGCATTAAATTTGGTGATTTACAGAAAGTCTCATTCGTTAAAACAGATGAAAAAAGTAATATTAAAATGACTATTGACAGTATCACTCCATGCCAACATCTCTCATTTGGTTCGGGAATTTCAGTAACAGTCAACAATGTTGGTTTAAATAATGCTGGATTTATATTTGCTGAAGATATTACAGTAAATGGTTTGGCACAGTCTATTATTATCACAAAATCTAGTGAACCAATCAATGGACTTACAAGAACTCCTTTTGCTGCTGGACCAACAAATGACTTTGCAAGATATCATCCTAAAGAAGATAGAGGGTTGAATTGTTATCCTGGTGATACTGCTGATTGTGTTGTTAGTGATTTTTCTCGTTATTACACGTATCAAGCAGGTAAAGACACTCAAATTACTCTTGTTAGTTCCTTCAACGAGATTGTATCAGATTTAGCAACATCAGATGATACACTTACAATTTCACGTGGTGATGGTATTGAAGATGATGTTAAACTTAGTACATTCACTGCCAAATGTAAAACAATCATTCAGGGTATTAAAATTAGTACATTCATTCCATCTAATAAATACGTTCTTCTTGATAATCATCCAGAAAATATTCAAGAAAATTCGGATTCTAAATATAATTATTATTATACATCTTCATCTAGTGATGAACCCAGTGGTTCTGCAAATATTGTGCAATGTGGTGATTATTACAGAGTAACTAAAGAAGATATACAATGCAAATGTTATTACTCTAACTTACTTCCCGATTGTAATATTACTTCTTATGACTTTGATTATATTTTAAAACCAGAATCACAAAGTAGTGTCACTACTTATAAAGTAGATAAACTATGGAAAACAGTATCATTTGATGACGCACAAGAAGGAGATATTGTTGAAATTGTTTCGAAAAACAATGTTATTATTATTCCTCAGAAATCAATTAAAATAACAGGTAGTTCTATGACAGTTTCATTAGACTACAACAAACTTAGCGACATTCCATTCATTGAAATTGATGGTGTAACTGTTACAAGTGTTATTAATACTGAAAATGCTGGTTCTCAAGTTCTTTTTGGAAGTAATATTTCTCCTGATAGTTCTGTTTCTTTTGCAACATGTTCCCTCACTTATTTCAGAGGATTTGCTGATTCTCGCCAGAAGAGTTGTAATTGTGCTGTTGATGAATCAAATAATTATGATAAAAATGATTGTATTTTAAGAAGTTCTTCATTGGATCTTGATATTAGAATTGATTCTCATACTGTCCAATACCCTTGGAATGTTATTAACATATTAAAATCATCAACTCTTACTCTTAGTAAAGGTAAAACGGTTAATACAATTAACCAAGAAGAAGGTTTTGAACTCATACTTAATGGAGAATTATCAACTAGTGTTCTTCTTAACCCTAGTTGTAAAGATTATTTGTATGTTGATTTGAATGATGGTAGTGTTAGCAATGCAAAGGTAAGAATTGAAAAGTCGTGTGTTTATTATTTAAATGCCAAGTCTGACTCATATATTGAACGTGCATCTCACTTTTCTGCTGTTAAATGTGGTGAATCAAATTATCGTGTTGGAACTGGTATTGAATGTAAATGTAAACTGACAACATCTGATTCTACTGAACTAAACAAAGAAAATATAGATTATGTTGATTGTAAACATTACTTCCCTGACCTTTCAGATTATTATTTTGATCTTGGAGATAAAAATGTAATAGTTAATGAAGACGTCAAGTTGAAAGGATTTTCTGGAATTGTAAATGACGATTTTTCAATTGGTGGTGATGGTTTATTAACCTTAAGTAGTCTTGAGCTTAGTAAAAACAAACTTACATTTACTGGAAAAAGTGTAGAAATTGCTTCTGCTAACATTGCAGCAAACGAAAAGCTTGTTGATAAAACAACAGAAAAAATGACTATTAATTCTTTAACAGTTGGAACATCTAAAGGACCTTATATTTTGTCATATGGTGCTGAAGGTAAAACATTTGCAATTTCTGGTGAAATTGAAACATCTGTCACGAATTCTATTATTGATGTTTTATATGCAAATCATGAAAGTGTTTCTATACCTCAACAAGATAAGTTGAAATCCATCTCATTGAATGGTAGAACTACTGTGTATCTTGGAGTAGATCAAACTCCTGGTGATACTGTTAATTGTTATATTACTTCTTCTAATAGTAATTATGATTTACAATTCAGTACTATTAATTGTCCATGTGATACTGAAAAGTGTATAATCAATGTTCAATCTACAAGTGTAAATCTTGGAGGTTCAGATTCAACTGCTAAATGGGTAATTCAACAAGAAATGGTATCATTTACTAATCCAAAAAGTATTGCACAAATGACTGTTGAATCTCAATTGAAAACAACTATTACCACTGAATCTCCTTTGACTATTAAGAATTTGAATGTTGACAATACCATTATATTATCTGGAAGCTTTAATATTGGAAGTCTTGATGCACAAAAAGTTGAAGTTGCAAGTGATTCAAATGTACAAATTGATAATGCAAAATTCAGTTCATTTGTTTCTAAAACTAGTAATGCTGTAACATTAGACGTGCAGTCAACTACAGAAAATACTTTTGAACTTGATTGTGTATATTGTCAACTTTCAACCAAATCTTCTGCTAACTCAGCAAAACAAACTATTAATAAACTCATCATGGGAAATTCTAGGTATTATAAATTCACGGAAAATGCTATTTTCACAATCAGTCAAATTAGTTTGGATTCAGAAGGTTCATTTGAATTATTAAAAATTGATAATGGAGCAACTCTTACATTTGACTCAAGTATTGAACAACAAACATTTACATATCCACTCCTCATTGCAGATTCATTTAATAATGAAGAAATTAATGTTAATGAAGCTAATTCCAATAAGTTTAAGAAATTATGTAAATCTTCTAAATTATTCGTTTATAATTCAGAGTCAACTCAAAGTATTAGTGCTGATTCTTTATCTGAATTATGTCATTTTAATGGCCAGCCAATGGTGTTTACTGAAGACAATGCAGAAAATTGTCAGGACATCCCGATTTGTATTTTAGAATTGGAACAAAGTCCTAGCGAAAGTTTGAAAGCAAATTATGACCGTGTTATCTGTAAACAAGATCTTGGATTTAGTACTGATAAAGATGTTACTGTTGAGTGTGATGAGAGTCATACAATTACAATTATTAACACAAAATCAACTGAAATTAAAGTAAATTCAATCAAATGTAATTTGCATTTAAGTGGTGGATCATTCATCATAAATTCTTTATCTGGTTCTGATAATATTGAAATTATTGTTGAAGATGAGTCAACGCCTGTTACTATTGGTTCTGTTCAATGTGGTTCAATTTCTACTTCTTCTTCACTTACTATTGAAGGAGATGTTATTTGTTCAAGTGTTGAAGCTTCTTCCCTTTTATTATCATCTGGTTCTCTCAGTTGTTCTGGTAATATTGTTTCCACTCAATTAGAAATTGGTCAACACTTTACTGGTTTATTGAAAGCTTCATTGTTAAATGCTGAGTCAGTTATTGATAAAAGTAAGAAGTTTTTGAATCATGCTATTACTACTCTTGGAGATAAATTGGTATATAAGGACTATTATATTGTAGTAAAAGATGAAAACAATACGGGAAGTTCCAAAAAATGTCATACTGTTGGTGATGTTCTTGACATTTCTGAGCTTAGATATAGTAACAATAAAGAACATAAATGTGATAGTGATATTGGAATTGCTGTTAGCATACATTCAAAAGAGATTGTTGTGTCAAAAGAAGTTATTATTGACAGAGAAATCACAAGTGGTATTAATAATGTTTTGTTTACTGGTTCAGGGTCATTAAAACTTACAAATTATAAAATCAATCATGCAAGCTTCTATGTTAATTCTTATATTACAGCAGCTGAAGGATGCTCTGCTCTTGTATGTGCATCAGGTGTATTTAATGGATTTGATACTTTGACAGTAAAAACAACTGAAAACATCGTAGTTAATGATGCTAATAAAATTATTATTGAAGATGTTGGAACTTTAACTATAAATGGAAAGAGTGATAAAGAAATTGAAATTAGTGTTAGTTCAAATAAATTCTCTGGTAGTACCAATCCAGTTGTTTTAGTTGAATCTGCTAATAGTCATACATTTAAAGTTTTATACACCGAAGCTTGTAAAGGTGATTTTACTGTTATAAAGTCTTCAAGACCATTAAAAATGTCTTTAGTTAATGATAATGATGTCCTTCTTTGTAATAACAAAGTACTTTATCATAGATGTGATAGTACAGAGAATGTTCCACATATTAGTTGTGATGATGAAATAGTTGAATATGATTCAGCGCTAAATGCTAGTCCTTATGAATGTAAAAACAGTAATGGATTAAATTGTATTGCTACATACACTGGTAGTGGTGATGATAGTCTTGCCGGCATTGATGCACAAACACTTATTATAAAGAATAGAAACTATGATGACAACAAGAAATATATTATTTCTGAAAAAGTAGAGAATTTGACTATTGGAGGAGGTGGAAAAGCTGCTTTCACAGTTCTTCCATCTACAATTACAGTTGGTAGTGGTGTTAAAGTTACTTTCACTCTTTCATCAAGTGATTTAAGTACTCCTCATTATATTACAGGAAGTGAAGATTCTGATATTACCATCATTTGTGAAATGGATACTGGATTACACATTTCTTCAATTCATTCTGATGGTAGTGTTTCATTTAGAGGGTGCTCTAGTGGTTCCTTGATTGATGGTGTTGTTAAAGTGAATAAAATGACTCTTGACTCAAGTAAGTTTTCTCTTTATAGTGATTTTGAAGTTGTTGGTTCATTATCAGTAACTCGGATTTCCGGAGATTTTACAGTATTCACACTGAATTCCGCCTCAAATAAATTTATAGTACACTCTGTAGATCAAGTTAGTGGTTGTACTATTCTTTTAAATACTAGAAGTCTTGTTGTAGAACCTGTTATTTCAATTCCAGGATTTACTAGTTCTAATAGAATCTATTATAAAAGTTGTGATAATAATCCAAATGCTTTAGCATTTGGAGTGTGTACACTAAGAAGTGATATTATCTCTATTGACACTCTAAATATTCAAGAGTCAGCTTATTATCAATATTACTCGATTTGTCCTGATCCAACAAAAATAATTGATTTATCAACTGTTAAAATTAACAATTTAAATGGATTAGAAGCTGTTAATTATAAGTCTATTAAATTAGGTTCTAATGTTGCATTACAGTCATCTACTTCTTCTCCTGTTGTTATAGATTCTTTTGAATTTTCTGATATGGTTACATTAGAAAGTAGGTATCAAATAAACAATTTGAAATGTCTTAGTGATGAATGTTCTCTTGTAGTTGCAGCTGATACTGTTATTTCATCTGTTGAAGGAGCAAATTCATTTAATATTATAATTGAACCAAATGCTGTTTTTACATACAGTGGAACAAAAGAATTAAATATAGAAACCCTAACTATTAAATCTGCTAATGGTTTGTCTTTCTCAGCTTTATCTGCTTCTATTTCATTTAGTGCAATTCAATTTACTCCTGTTACTTCATCGTCTTCATCATATGTCTTTGTTAAAACACTAAAAGCTCTTGGTTCTATTTCACTTGAAAAAAGAGACGGTGTTGTTTTAGCTGATAGTAGTAAATATCCAATTGTTACTTCCTCTGACAAAATAACAATAGTTTTAAAAGGAAATGAAAAACTTGTAGCTTGTGATTCTAAAACAGTACTTTACTTAAATCAAATAAAACAGAATGAACAATCTTCCAAATTTGTGTGTCCTGAAGTTATTACATGTACTATGTCTAGTTCTTCCAGTACTTGTGTTCGTGATAATGATGGTAGTCAAGAATATGTACAACAGTATAAATATGTTTATACAAGTGGTTATGATGTTACTTCAATTAACTTACCAAATAATAATAAATTAACCCCATCATATGATATTGTTGAAATTAGTGGTAGTCAGGCAAAAAGTATAAATATTGAAAATGGTGGAAGTTATTTGTTAGACATTGCTTCTTCTTGTTCAGGTAGTTCAGTCAGTTGTATATCAAGTGGTGATAGTAGTGCATCATTGAGTTGTACTGTTAGACTTTCACTTAATGATGGTACAATTTCTATTAATGGAAAAGGAATTGTTATTGAAGAAGATTCTGCATATGAGTCTGCCAGTAACTCCGTTATTAATATTCCAAAAGGTGCTGTTGTTGATATATCTTCAATTGTTGGAACCACTCTTAAACTTAACTTACAAGAGAAAGGTACTGTTAATATTAAGAAGTATGGTAGTTTCTCAGAAATATTCATGAGTGATGGTTCAGTTATTAATGCTTATGACGCATTTGATGCTTCAGTAATTAATTATAACGGTGGAGAAATCATTGTACAAAGTGATAATATTGTAACTCTTAAGGAAATTAACATTCTTGACGGTTCAATTAGTAATGGAAAATGTCGAACTATAATTCGACCACCTAAATTTGATGATGTAACAAATCCAAATAAGATTTGGGAAGGAAATGTACCTTTTTCAAATATTGTTGGTATTAAATATTACAAATATTCTGGATCTGTTCTTGAGGCATGTGTTGGTTCTTCATCAGAACATAAATTTGGTGATGTTTATTGTTCTTCTTCATATGCAAATAGTTCTATTTGTTATTGTTCTTATGATCCCTATGTTGATCAATCATGTATTTTAAGTTGTGATGGTATAGAAAGTGATGAATGTGTATTCCATGATGAAAATTCAAATTCACCTTTATTTGATAAAGTTCAATTAAAAACAGGTCAAACTAAATTGAAAATTGAATCTTCTATGAAATTATTTAAATTAGATGGTAACAAATTACAAAATATTGAGGCTGTAGTTCCTATTACTATTTATTCAATTGAGGATTCTGATGAAAAAGAATGCCATCTTACAATTTCAGGTAGTAACACATTATTATCCATAGAACGTATTCATCTTGTAAATCCAAATTCAATTCTTACTCTTAACGTTAGAGAAGTGTCAATTAGAGAATTGTATATTGTAGGTGCTAGTTTTGAAACTACTGCTATTATTACTATGCTTGAAAGTGATATTCCTGTTATATCATTTTCTGACGCTTATGATACTGGTGCAATTTCGTTACCGACTATTGAAAGACGAATTGTAATGAAAAATGCAGATATTACATTTAAAAATCAAGGTGCTATTGCTGTTTATGGACCATTGAAGGATGATACATTTATTGATCCTGAGACTAATAGTCATTATGATGCTGATTTTAATCCAACTGTTATAGAAAATACTCATATTCATCTTATTAGTGACACTAATAAGTGTTATGAAAATAATAGCACTAAAACCAAATCTGTCTTTTATTTCGATGTTGTCGGAAGAATTTCTGTTTCAGATATCGAAGTTGACTATAATTGTCTTAGTGATGGAATTAGTGAAAATTCAGTTGCTAATTTAATCTATACCAATATTCCTAATTATATCACTGTTTCAGGTACTCTTTCAAGTAATTTAAGAATTGATGAACAAAAGTATATTATTGTTGTTGCAGCTCAAGACTTTAATGGTATTGAACAATACAATATTCCAGAACTTTCATGTGTTGTATCTGACACCTTCCGTTCAAATTCATTCTCTGAAACTTCTAGTGATGTTTGGTCTTCACCAACTTGTCCATGTACTGGAAATGGATGTATTATTGATACAACTAAACCATCAGTTGCTGTTCGATATAATTTGGACTCAAAACAATTAGATAAATATTCTGCTAAATACGGAACAATGATAGGATCTGATGTTACTATTCATACTCTTGTAGTTCAAGGTTCTGAAGAATATGATAATTATGCTGTTACTTGTTCATTAACACGATCTAATATCACAGAATTACAATTAGAGAATTATGGTAAAATAACATTTGATGAATCTCAAACCATTAACAGTATTATTGGAGATAATTATACTAATACCTCAGTCATTTTGAGAAATAGTATTACATTAAAAACAAATGAAATTAGACAAACTAATCTTAACCTTGTTGGTTCAACTATTTCTCTTGCTCAAAACTCAGTTGGTGATTTCTCTGGAAAAATTATTAGAATTAGTTCTAACGGTCATTTTGATTTGTATTCAAGTAATGTTGAATTTACAAAAGATACTATATTTAACATCTCATTTAACTCTCCTGGACAATCTCATTCAATTTCTGTTGATGACGATGTTTATGGTAATTCATTATCTATCTTAAATGCTCAATTCCTTATTAATATTCCTTCTGGTCATAGTAGATGTACATTTGCTTTCTTAAGAATTAACCAACCAGTTGATAATGTTGATGTCACTGTTGTTACTCCGTCATTAAAAATTAAGGCTGATAGTTCATCGTTTAAGGTTTACTCTCTTTGTGGAGGACTTGTTATTTCTGATCTTCCTGAAGACCAAGTTTCTTGTCCAAATGATAGAATGGCTCGTTCTATTGAAACCAAAGAATTCCCAATGTATATGATTGCGGTTATTGTTGTTTTCGTCCTTGTATTAGTTGTTGTTGCTGTTGTTTTCATTGTCTATATTGTCCATGTTTATCTTGTCCGTAAGAGAAATCTTAAGGTATTTGAAGAAGGAGAGGAGGTTGATATTGAAGATGATAAAAAGGAAGAAGAAATCGAAAATAAACCAACTGAAGCTAAAGATGTTCAAAACAAAGATACAACTGCATGAGTAATTCTTTGTTAAATGAAAAGTAATTCCATTATTATTTTCATTCTTAAATAAATCAAAACTAATTGATTTATTTTTATTATTTTATTTTCTTCTTTCATTATGTATTTAT